TTGTCACCACCCCTATTCATCCCGTGGGTGTTGTAAGAGTCAACTAAGGGAAGAAACTACGCAGAACAACAACACTGCAGAGAGAAGGAAAACTTGACACAAACCCTATACCAACCCGTCTGGCCAGCGTGGTATAGTAGGCCAAAACCTCCTTTCTAAGGAGAGGCTTATGTCCAGCAGTGGACTATTAAAGGCTGTTGATGATGATTGATGGTTTAAAAAGAAGGCAAATGTACGTACTTATATTAAATGTACGGGCCCATTGGTCGAGTGGTTAGTGATCCTAACTGCTTAGCCACGGGACGTGGGTTCAATTTCCACCCAGGACAAATAATTGTGTGATGAACACGATCATTTGTTCTGTGTCTGGGTGTAATTTATCTATAATATGTATGCATGTAGTATGTTTATCAGCATGGTCTGGTTGACATGGTACAGGCTCTGCTTAGTTTGGGAACAAACGGCCGTGTGTGAGATGTCTGAGTTTATCTATCTATACAAATAAATAAAATTGGAGTGTCTGTTTGTAATATTAAAATAACCGCTTTTTACTAAATGCATATGCATGTTTACACGGTACATATGCCAAAATAACATTTTTTTCAATTTTTGTCTGTCTGTCTGTCTGTCTGTTTGTTCCATGTAATCTCTGGAACGGCTGGACGGATATCGACGGGAGTTTCACTGGCAGATAGCTGATGACATAAGCACTAAAATGTTCTTTCTTTTGCCACAAACATTTTTTTAAGTAATATTTTTTACTCAATAAGTATAACTTGATCTATACAAATAAATAAAATTGGAGTGTCTGTTTGTAATATTAAAATAACCGCTTTTTATTTGTTTTTTTTGTCTGTCTGTTTGTCTGTCTGTCTGTTTGTTCCGGGTAATCTCTGGAACGGCTGGACCGATTTCGACGGGACTTTCACTGGCAGATAGCTGATGACATAAGGAGTAACTTAGGCTACTTTTTTTAGACTAGCTTCGCCTCGCGGCGTTGCCCGCGGTTATAACAACAAACGCGGGTCTCAGCTAGTATTTATTTTTCATTATACAAATAATATGGAACTCATGCTCACATTTTTCACGTATTTGTTGACAGTAAAATTCTTCTTTGTACTTATCATTTTAATGATGAGGAATTATAAATTGATTTGTAGGTAATATATGTACTTTCACATTTATAAATGTTAATAACGTAGGATGTAAAGTCGATTTGGATATCCGTGTCGAATATATTGGGGTCAAAACACTGAATCTATGAGCGATTCAATGCAGCAAATTTTTATACCACATCCTGTCCGCAATTAACATTTCGATCTCATTACTGGTACACCTGTTTTCTTCGACCGGATCCATTAGGTGATAATAGACTTATCATCCGTATCTTCTAATTCGAAGAAACGAACCGTTCAGCTTTATAATTAGTATAGATTTGTGGTCAATCTTATCTACCGTATTATATACCGAGCAAAAGCTAGTAATAAATGAAGACCAAATGGTAAGCTGATAAATCCCACTGATAATTATTAATAGGATGTATGTAGTGTAGCATGTCCGTGTGGTAACGGATTGAGAATACAGAGTGTCACTACCCCTATTCATCTATTCATCATCAGAAGGAAATCTTGAAACAAACCTAATACCAATCCGTCTGGCCAGTATGGTATAGTAGGCCAATAACTCTTTTCTAAGAAGAGGCCTATGTCCAGCAGTGGACTATTAAAGTCCTACTCCAACCTTGTAAAAGTCACTTACTTTTATCCTTGGAAGAGCTCTACTTCAGCACAAATGGGCCGTCTCGGCCGGAGTGATATCACGACCTAAAAGAAAACCGATGTTAAACAATTCCTTTGTTGCTTTTCACCGTGTGAGTCTACTGGAGCCCCCCCCAACCCCCCCCCCCCCCCACCAACGGCCCTACTCATCCAAAGTCCAAAGTCTGGCAACGCACTTGTATATTGTAACTCTTTGCCTTATCATCTGGTCAAAAATTTTAAATTAAGGAAAACAAGCCAGCCCCGGATCTACGATTTTTTCGAAACGGATCAAACAATTTATAGTGGCCCCTCTCTCCGGCGGGCGTTTGAGATAAATTACTTAACAAAACTCACAAATATATATGTCACTTGTAGTGAGCCAACCAGACTTCAAGCAAGGAGGAGCAAGTTTTTTTTTTTCATAATACTTTATTATAATTTTGGCGCTCCCCGAAACCGCCGCTTTAAAACATAAGTTTGAGGAAAAGTCGACGTTAACGTCACAAGCTCATTTTCCACCACGCGTTAGAGAAAGTGAAATTATAACAATATTAGACGGCGCCATGGCTACCATCTTAGGTAACGACACGTAATGCCTATGTAACCATAACCATGCCTATGTAATGAGTTAGTGACATCAGACTCTCCTGTTTTTTTTTAAAGACTACTCCCGCATTAGGAATATATCCTGTGTCGCGGGGGACTTTACAAACATACATTAACACAAAGAACACCCAGACTCTGAACAACAATTTGTGGATCACACAAAGTGTCGTCTCATGTGGGGTTTGAACCCACAACACTCGGCTCAATCTAATTATCTGCTGTGGGACTGCATTATCTGTTGCATTCTATAATACTAAAAATAATGTTACCTTTCCCGGAAAATTTGGAGTTTGGACAGTATCCTACTTGTCAAAACTTCAAATAACTTTTAGTCGAATTTAAAAAACTAAAGAAACTTTTTGCTCTATGGTCGAAATAGATAGATAGATATACTACACAACATACATACTATTAATAATTATCAATTGGATTTATCAGCTTACTATTTGGTCTTCATTTATTACTAGCTTTTGCTCGCGTCTCCGCCCGCGTATATGTCGGTTATCGCGGTAAAAAGTAGCCTATGTTACATGTTACTCACCAATAATGTAGCTTTCCATTGGTGACAGAATTTTTTAAAGCGCTTTAGTGGTTTAGGCGTGAAGCTTTCACGCCTAAACCACTAAAGCGCTTTAAAAATTGTGTTTGTTTGTTACGCTTAACACACTCACTTCCACATTTATAAGTATGTATAATATAAAAAAAAATATAAAAAAAATAATTGTTTGTTAGCACTTAGCGTGGGCCGAAAAACTAGAGCAGTGCCAGTAACAGTGCTGACAAATTGTCATAATTAAGCAGCGATAACCGAATACCAGTAAGGTTTTGGGTAAGAGTTCGTGGGGGAAGTCGGATGACATTTATGAAGATCTTCCACAGTTGCGTTATAATAATAGGTAATAAACTTTTGGTAATTCATGTTTTGAAATAATTATTTGCATAAAAGAACCCGAAAATTAATTTTGGTGTAATTTTTATTCCTTCTAACCTTAATGGAGTTATTATCAAATTAAGACATGGTTCGACTGTGATCAAAAATTCGTGATCATGAATAAGATGGTAAAAGAAAATTGAACGGTTAGTAAAGTAGCTTACACTGCCATCTGAAATTATTTTTGAGAAATATGTCCAATGAATGTCATTATTTTTAAATAGTTCTTAACCTATCCAAAAGATGGCACTAAAATAAAAGTTTGATATCCAAAAATATAAATATAGATGGCGTAAGTAATGTTCTTGTTGCCAAACTATGTTCCTTATTTAATTTCTCAGGTTCAAACATTCATTTTTAATTAAATTGATAATAATAATAGTTTTTTTTATCTCCATAAATTACGCAAGTCCTAATATCTAAGTTGACAAATGTTTGGCTTAATTGGTAATTTGTGGTAGAGCTGAAGTCTACACTAAGCCTGCATTTTAAGAGCTCCAGGCCCCCCATTATTGTAAATGTTGTTCAACTTCAACTTTTGGTTAATGGCTTTGTGGTAGAGTAAATGTTGTTGATATCTTTGACGATGTTGCGACTGACAAGACTACTGACATTATTGATAAGCAAAGTTTCGTTGTACGTGTCCACGTGCGATTATGTATTTACTGTACACGGCAAGGCGTAGTTTTAATTTGGCCTCATATCTTTGTTCACTGAGTACCATCTTAACATTTTTTATTTGATCTGAGTTTATTCTCGGATCAAATAAAAACTTAAGATAAAACTTACAAGGAAGTGACGTCGGTTTCAAAAGCATCAATACATTATATGGTTATCTGTGATAAGCATATGGTGCGTCGGCCGGTGTTGCTATCCTAATTTAAATTACCCCAATATTACAAAAATTAACGTTTCCAATTTATAAACGTTCTCAAAAATGAGAACAGGACGGTGATCTGTCAGTTATTCCGATGTCAAGTGCAAGAAAAAGTAGTAGCGGTAGTGAAAAAGAACTGTTTCAAAAATAAAATTATTAGGTATTTAATTGTTATGTGCGTTTTTATTTATTTAAAAACCATTGTACTGTACTATTTTCTTGTAAGATTGCCTTTATTCACTGATATTTATAGATTTTAAAACTGTTTCTAACTTAGCAATATGGTGGAACCTAATTTTTCAATAAAGCATCGTATGAAATTAATTTTATAATCATGCCCAGAATATTCATGTTTAGTCTTTAAACTAATGACAACTTGTTACCAACAATTTTTTTTAATGTATTCATCACATTAATTCGGCAATTATTTTCTGCGATTTTTGTAATATTTTTAATCAGTAACTTTCGAACAACTGCTTCACAAGTAACACAAATACTTAGACAGGATGCGAAGACCGTTTTTGTTATTTTAAGTAATGAGCAACAAAGTAATTCGATTGCAATTTGTTGAGTGTTCATCGAACGTTAACAAAGCGAGATCTACTCCGTCCGAGTCAAAACACTCGATTCGACACATTATGACTGGATTAGCTTTTTGCTCAGCTGTTTTACTGTTAATTAGAAAGTATACTATAGTATTTTAAACGGTGATCAATCCCTGCTAATTGAACACTAATGCATGGGAAGCTAAAAAAGCAGTTTCTTCTGAAAAAGTTCAAATATTGACAACGCCAATATATTTCAGTATTTCCCACAATTTTTGTATCTAGTATTCTATGATATGATCATCTAGTTTTTCTCTTAAATATTTGTTTCTCTTGTGAAGACGCCTAACTTTTTGGTTTAAGGTTTTTATTTTTCTTTTATATTTTTCTAGATTTTTCTCTAACGATGAGACTCTTTCCTGTAGCTTGTGGTTTCTGAGTATGTCAAAAACTGATGAATTGGATTGCACTGGTTGAACCTAAAGGAAAACAGAATAGACAATATTAAAAAAAAAAAAGAACAACTTATTTGTCTGAGAATATTTCAGAAAGTATGGCACTATCTCACTAATAGAACATAAAGTAAAAGGATAGTTGCAATTTAAAAGAAGATATTAAAACTAGATGTATGTAATGTATGTATGTTATTTTTATGTAAAAACATCTGGAGGTATAAAACTATTTCACTTACAGCACATGAACCAGAAGGCTGAAGGCAGAAGTTTAAATCATTTGAAAAATTTAGTGCAGCAGGCTCTTCTTTCTGGAACAATAATAAACGGGAGAATGTAAAATGGGAGAACTGAGAGCGTAATATGGGTTTATTTCACCCCTTCTCGATCGTCACAGTGACCGCGTTCGACGTTGCGATTGGCCCTTACTGAAATGTTCACCAATCGCAACACCGAACGTGCTCGCCGTCGAGGGTGAGTTGATGTGAAATAAACTCACACTAAGCTCTGTGATTTAATATGTATTTGTGTAAATACTCACAACACTAGGAGATTGGCTTGGGTCCACATTATCTGATCCTTCAAATATGTTTGTTAAAATCTGATGCACAAAACAAGTCAATGTTGTATTAATGTCATCAACGTGTCTCACACGTCTAGAGGTATTTAAAAATTTACTTACAGCATATGAACTATAAGGCTGGCTGAAGTTTAAATCATTTGACGGATCTAGTGAAGCAGGCTCTTCTTTCTGGAACAATAATAAACAGGAGAATGTCAAATGGGAGAACTGAGGGCCTAATGTGAGTTCATTTCACACCTACTTAATAGTCACAGTGATCGCATTCGACGTTGCGGTTGGTCCTCACTGAAATATTCATCAATCGCAACACTGAAAGTGCTTGGTGTCGAGAACGAGTTGATATGAAATAAACTCACACTAGGCTCTCTGATTTAATATATATTTGTGTAAATACTCACAACACTAGGAGGATGGCTTAGGTAGACATTATCTGATCCTTTAATTATTTTCGGTAAAATCTGATGGACAAAACAAGTCAATGTTGTATTAATGTCACCAACATGTTACATGCATCTGGAGGTATATAAATATTTCTCTTACAGCACATGAACCAGAAGGCTGGCTGAAGTTTAAATCATTTGGCGGATCTAGTGCAGGAGGCTCTTCTTTCTGGAACAATAATAAACAGGTGAATGTCCAATGGGCGAACTGAGGTTCTAGTGTGAGTTCATTTTACACCTACTCGATCGTGACAGTGACCGCTTTCGACGTTGCAATTGGTCCTCACTGAAAACTTCACCAATCGCAACACCAAACATGCTCGCTGTCGCGTGAGTTGACGTAAAATAAACTCACACTAGGCCCTCCGATTTAATATTTATTTGTATTTGGATAAATACTCACAACACAAGGCGGTTGGCTCAGGTCTACATTATCTGATCCTTGAATTACGTTTGGTAAAATCTGATGGACAAATCAAGTCAATGTTGTATTAATGCCATCAACATGTATCTATTTCTTTTATTTATAGATTACAAGGTATTATAAGGTTCTATCATCTACCTTTGGATATCCGCTTTTTAGCACACGACGCAACCCTTTCTTTGTATAGTACAAATCGTCGCTATTAAAATGAGCTGAACATACTACGCTGCGGCTACTTGGTTGCCATGATGGTTCCTTCCGACTATTACGAATGACTGCAACCCATTTCTCTTTTATATTTTGATCACGAAACGGAAATCTGGAAAATGATAAAACTAGTCCTGGAAATATTGATTAATTTTGATAGTGCAACATAAAATAACAGCTACTTTCACGCAAATGATGGCATACATTACAAGACAGTCAAGTGCATCACCCGTTTGCCCGTAATTTAATGCAACATGCACCAGCGATGCAACGTATTTGTAATTGTTGGCAACTTCACAGAGCATCCTCGGGGCAACTATTACAATAAGCGAACAACATTATATTCCTGAATTACAAATATAACAAATAGATACATTCATTGAAGAAAATGACGATGCCATAGATACACACATACAGACACGTCAACCTTAAAACACCTCCCTTTTGGCGTTGGTTAACATTTGAGTAACAAGACATGTCCCATTATTAATTGAACACGTTTTGTTATAGTTTACCTTATTATTGGGTAATGAAGCATTACCCAATAATATGGTAGTCTATAACGCTTTCTAATGTCAACACTTTTTGCGTTTCAAGCAATATTAACCTCAACTTTATTTTATTAAAAATATCGGTTACAAATTTTATTTACATGTGAAATGTTATTCCATCCAGCTTTTTATCTCTTGAAGTTTGGTTTTTACACCCTCTTATAACACAATTCGGCATTTTTACTTGTAAATGTTGTTGATATATTTATGACGTTTTGACAAACAACTGTCCAACTGACAGGCCAAGACGTAGGTGAAGTATGTTCGTTATACGTGTGTGGGTGTGTTTACGTATGTGTACCCGGTCAGCAAGGCGTAGTTTTAATTTTGGGCTCATTTTTTTTTTACCATATAATTTTTTAATTAAATTTGACCTAAGTTTTTTTTATTAAATAAAATTATGTTTTGCTGAAAAAATAATGATTACCGTTATTTTTAAGCTTATTTTTTACTTCTTTTTGTAAATCACAACCATTTTACCACATGCGCATACAATTATCGTTTTTCATTGCACATACGAGAATGTCCTCTATTTTTTTTTTAAACCATAGAGTGACTCGGTTACTAAATTATAAAGCCAAAATAAAAATTGGGAAATAATAAAGCAATGGAAGAAAGAAAAAACCTTTTACTAAAAGTCATTTAAACTACTCTCAGCAACAATACATATTTAAAATCTGCTGATGACGCCATCAATATAATTCAACAGACGATAATAATGTCGTTCGCCATCGCTTACGTCTTACGTCGTTGTTGGCAGTGAACGGAACGAAGTGTCGTCGTATAGATCGCTCGCTGGCTGGCTGGCTGAAAATAGTGAACCAAAGTATGAGTTTTCGAAATATGTTCGAATAAAAAGTGTGTAGTGAGTGACTGTCATCCAGCAAGATGGTTGATGACGTGAAAGATATTACCGAAACCGCTGAAAGTAAAGGTATATGTGCAATTATAGTTGAAATGTGTCGTTCTAGTGTTAAAATGTGATCGAAAATTTGTCTAACCCTAAACCGTGTCGTGGCCCCACGTAGTGGGCTCGTGTACCGCTTTCGAGAATGTCCGAACTGTGATACGTTGGTCACAATTGTGTGTTTTGTTTTTTACCTATATTTGGACGTCTTTTTCATGTCGTGGTATGTTCTATAATTAGAAAAATGTTCACCAGACAATAATAGGTGACCGAGAATGTCTAAAATGTTTCAGACCTGTATAATGTCAGACTCGTGATTACTTCGTTTTTGTTATGTTAGATTTATTTTTACCGTTATTTGGGTATTTTATATTTCTTTCAGGAGTTGGGCCGTATGAAATTCCTCTTAGATGACGTAAATGTAATAATAATGTTGACGTTCGAGTGTGTGGTTTGAGTCATATAAAATAATTAGCCAACTTGAAACTTAATTCATGCCTATTTCTGTGCGTCGCAGTAACTTTCTAGATATAGGTATATCTTATCACTACTGCGTGAGAAATATTTATTTCCCGTGATTAAAAAAAAATTGCATCACAGGTTATTGCAGAATATAATCAGAATATAAAAAAGATTAAATAAGATATATAATCTATATTTGATAAAAGATAAACTATGTACGTTACGTCGATAAGTATTTAAACCTGATAAACAAATTCAGACAATAAAAAAACACGAAACAGCTCTTGTAGACTGATATTATTGTTATAGGAAAGATACAAACAAATCATATTTAAGTCTGCTTTTATTATTACTCCCTTAAATATATTAAAAAAAATACTGTTTCTTAATAAGCATTATTCAACCATGTGGGTTCGAATTCTGCCCAGGACAAAATAATAGTTTTGTGATTAGCACAATCATTATTGTTCTGTCTGTATGTAAAGTATTACGTATTTCTGTTACATATTTCTAATAAGACTGTCTGATTACTACAGTACAGGCTTTGCCTAGGTTGCGGTTCAGATGGCTGTGTGTGGGTTATTATGTGACTGTTAAATTGTGACAAAAAGGAAAAGTTTAAATTACCCAAAACAACTTACACACACCTTTTTCTATGACACATTGAAGTTTTTAGCATACCTATATTTGTTGCTTCAGATTGTAGTAATATAAAACCTTTTGGTGTAAAAGAAACTTACCATCAATTTCTTAATACTGTTACTACGCTGTCCTGCACAGAAACTAATTACAGACTTTGACTATGATCATTAGAGAATTAAAGAATCAAACATAAACAATTAAATTCTAATTTAATACCTAACCGACCACTTGATAACCTATTCTTAACCTTCTACTGATATACTGTACGCTGTTCTCAAGCTAAAAGGCAGCTAAAGGTCAAACCAGCTTCACCTTCAAAGCTGACAATGTACTTGTGACTCTCTGTGAGCTGACGATGTCCATGAATAGTAGTAGTAACCATTATATGACCTCCCTGCTCTTTTGTCCCCTAAACATTAAAAAAGCAAGCATATTAAACTGATGGATACCTATAACAACACAAGTAGATAATTTATCTTCTTTCGAAGGTGAGGCCTGATGATGAATCAGGATGATGATGTATCCTGAAAAAGTACTCAATAATAATGAAAACTTACAAATACCCATACATGGCCAAGTGCAAGTTTACCAATCATCACGATGACTGCTTTCGGCTCTGTGATTTGTGAAGATTTCAGTGCAGGCCAATCACAATGCCAAATATCGTCATCATGATGATTGAGTAGATGTTAAATAAACTTACATTATGGCCTCTGATCTCAAACTAGCCAGAGCCTGTACTATAGTAGCCAGACTACTTGGTAAAGAAAATTGTGCTAAGTTAGACCCAAACACCAAACAAATGATAATGCTCAACACACATATTGGAACTTGGTGGGAATCAATCCCATGACAGCTGCCTTAGCAGACAGTCACAATAAGCCCATCAACTATAGTTTAGCCTTTAATTTTAATTCATGATCATTATTTATACTAACTTTTTAGAAATTGTCTTACATATAGCTAGAATCTGAGACAAAAATATGTGATTTTAGTTTGAAGACTGATTGTCATTTAACAGCCACCTATGACAGCTGCTTATAATATGGTCAGAATATCTGTATTTTTGTTCATTTCTTTTTGACTTTTCACATGTTCAAGCTTTCCTTCTGTCTAAACACAATTACATAAAATATTTTATAAAACATACATACATCTTATCAATTCTCGGAAGGCTTAAAGCAATATCAAGCTAGTGATAGTTTTTTCTAAGTAAAAGTTAAGTAAAACATTATATAACAAAGAAAGAAACTTTTTCTAGTATTTTTTGTAAATCGCAGCCATAATAGAAGACAGATGACTTTAGAAGTTCTATTGTGATTGTGCGCAATAGAGAGAAACCAGAAACCCAACTTAATTATCCAATAAAAAATATACAAAATCATCAAATGTTTAAAGAGTGACAAAGTAACTACACAGGTTGTCTTAAAATTGAAATGATCACAAAGTAGGATTTAAACAATTTAAACCATGAACTTTTACTTGGAGAATGATATAATAGGTCAAATGATAGTTTAAATAGTAAGATTATTTTACCTACCAATTACGTAGGTACTTTCCTTAGATAAAAAAACTTATGCAAAGAATGTATTATAAGCCTTCCTTTTTATATTAATAACCTTTCATGTTAATCTCCTTCTAATTATAAAATATCCAGAAACATATATGATTTAACTGAGTTTATTTCCACAGACGTTTCGGTTCTGGCAGGAGCCCTTTTTAATTACATATGTAAGTAAAACGCAGTAAAAAGAATCCTGTCTTTCTGCAAGAATCAAACTATCTCCATATAAACTTTAATCTAAATCGGTTCATCCGTTATTGATGCCCAATACAACTTTCCACCCCTCTTTTCACCCCATCAAAGGGCAATATCTGGGATAAAAACTATCCTATGTCCTTTCCTGTGACTCAAACTATCTCTATACCAAATATCATTTAAATCGGTTCAGCAGTTTAAGTGTGAGACAGATAGATAGACACACTTTCACATTTATTACATTAGTATGGATGGTTTAATGATTGTACTAACTTTACACTGAGTTTCTGTTTTAATGGCCTTTGATCTTTCAAGTCAGTCTAGAGCCAGAACTTCAACAAGCCAATGTGCATGAATGGCAAGGCACAGAATCGTTTAATACTACATGGATGGCATTCCATACCATTTTATTCACACACTAAACCTGTGATGTGTTTATGAACACTTTATTTCCATTATGGATTTGCCTTATCTAGTAATATCTATATAGGTGCAATGTTTATTATATGATACATTACTCATAATTACTTACCTATCTAGAGTGTGCGCACACCAGTCACAACATAACGGGACTTATTTCTTTTTGTTCTATTACTTCATGGTTCCAGAACAGAAATATTCATATGTTTGCAATGAGGTAAACGTTACACAAAATTAATTACAGTAAAATAATTAATTGCTAGCTAAAGTAGCCTATGCTTTTCCTCAGCGGTAATTCATTCCTCATACAAACAACCACCCCCACTTCACCAACTTTAAAAGATTATTTCTGGGATAAAAACTATCCTATGTCCTTTCCCGTTACTCAAACTATCTTTATACCAAATTTCATCTAAATCCATTCAGCAGTTTTAGCGTGAAGAGCTAACAGGCAGACACACTTTCGCATTTATAATATTTGTATGAATATCCATTCCATCCATCCTTTGTATAGGTATATGTCTACATGTCTGCTACTACTAGTGGACTGAAGGTTGTTGATGATGATTGTATTACTGTAAATTTTGCTTTCTATCTCTGTCCCTTGTTAAAATTATAATTTTTTTATCCCTTGAAAACAGTTTTATTTAGCTGATGGGTATCCTCTGTGCTTTGTTGTATATCTCTTTTTTTTCTTACCACCCACCGGTAGTTATGTCGGACTCGAGCCGACTAAAAACTGCACGCCGACTCGGGTACCAGTAGCCGGGGAACAAGGTGTACCTTAGTAAAGAAATCCCTGGTACTCTTAGTTGTATTCCTGGTAATAGATGTTCAAAGTTTAATTCGGATTAATGGGACAGATAAAATACTATCATATACATTGATTTTATATAAATTATTATTATTGGATTATGAAATTGAAATAAAGTTTAATTACTCAAAGTAAACAGTTCGATTAGATATATAAAATACCTATCATAGATATCCTAAAAAATAATATCTTGCAGCCTTGATAGAAATCCTTTTTTTTTCTCCCTCTCAGTCAGTTAGTATGATCTTCTGTGTGCTGAATCTGTTTATTAATTCATAAGTTATCAATTCTAAAGCTTTGTTAGACTTAGGATATTTGCATAAATATTTATCAAAATATTTAAATTCTTAAAAACTTAGTTTCATGGATGACTTCATACAGGTGAGTGAGCTCCTTGAGACCAAAAGTTCTTTCAAACCTTCTTATGAAGATATCAAACTATTTCTGTCTTGTCTTTGGATTACCACAAGGTTATTCAAAATAGGAACATATCAAAATAAAGATGAATTTTATTCACCTCATACCATAACAGTACCTCATTAAATTAAACCGTAGGAGGAACTCCAAAATAGTGTATTTCACAATATTTAAATTGAAAAATATCAATCATACGGCTCATACCTACGTATAGCTCAAAGTTGCAGATGTAAGTCAAATAAGTTATTCATAGTGTATGTCACTTGAGTCAATTATGTGATTCTTTTGAAACATCCTTGAGCGTGTCTGTGACCTCAGTAACTTAATTTTTCTGTTTATTATTCAAATTAACTTCTAGAAACTTCTCGTAAAAAGAATTTTGTTGACACATCAGATTTGACTTGATCTTGTGATTAGATGATAAGAATCCTATTCATCTCTTTATTTTTGTTCTTTTGTTATTGACATTAAAAATTTACTTTCTATATACAAGTATCACATCAACAGCCTTTA